AAGAGATTGAGAATAGAGGCACTAATCTCTAAATATCCATAGTTACCTGAACTGGCCAACCATTCTCCATTGGGACTAAATTTGACAGAAGACACTGCCTTAGTATGACCCGCCAAGGTATATTTCAGTGTATAATTTGATTTCTGTAAATGAAAAATCAAAGATGCAAATATGTCACTCCTTTATTCATTTTATTTTCATACAAAAACAATAACATTGTAACAACACTGTAAAGTAACATTTGTCTAACAGTCAATGCTATACAATAAGTGTCCTATCTTGTAAGTTAAACAAAAACACCTACTATATAGGTCGCAGACTAGCACACGATGTAAACATAGCCCCTAAATTTATTTTTATTCCTGTATTAGACTGCACTAATTTTCTTTCTTATTTTCATCAAATATCAAACATATCTACTTCACATCACTTTAAATTTCAAAAGTGTTCAATCATCAAATTAGATTTCATATTTGACTGTAAATAATTTTTATGAATCTGAAAAATACATTGAAATGGCTTGTCGGCTTGAAGATAAAAAGAAAAATAACCTTGTTTGATAGAATTAGAATTACAAGAGCTAAATGGAATACCTATAGAAGTTTTATTTTATTTATCTCGGGTTTTTGTAACATGTGTATACAGATCAGCGAAAAACAAGTTTAACAAAATTTTGTTCGTAATATATTTCATTCGTAACTTGAATGTAAATTCAGCCATCTTAAATTTTTGCCTGATATCTGTATCGAGAACTTTATCAAAGAATAATCTAGTCGTTTATTTGTATTACCTCGTTTAACATCCATACCTCAATTAGCCGAACCGGCGTATTAACGTGTTTAACCTGTACATACCCTTTACCATATGTAAATTCAAATACGCATGCATTGTATACTTTACCACTATCGCATTTTTCGTCCCGCTGGCGGTCGCGCTGGAAGAATTATTTACGGACGTTTGATGTCCCGGCGATGGGCCGAGAGGTACCATATTTCCCAATATGCCGACAAAATTTACAAACGCAACAATGCGTTACAATGCACGAGTAATCAACCCGTATAATGTAATAGAATGTAAGCACGCTATACGACAATTAAAATCGACCGATTGCGCTGCTCTGAAGTCCGGACTTGTCCACACTGCTCCTATGGCAAAGTCAGACTGTCAGAGAGTCGATTCTGTCGATTGTGTATCTTAAAACGAGATAAAAATTACAAAATGAACAATTATAATTTTATTGATCAATATCTAGTAAATTTACTTATTTTTGTAATTTTTTTCCTCGTTTTGAAATACATAATTGATCCCCAGAGACAAATAAAGAAAGAAAATAATGCTATCTGATTGGATACTTTGCATCCTTATATCCCTCCTTTCGTATGTTGTGTATGAGCGAGTGAGTGAGAGAGAGAAAGAAAATAAACGGTCACGTTGTACTTTTTGCACTCAGTATCTTCATTTTCTCTCTCTCTCTCTCTCTCTCTCTCTCTCTCTCTCTCTCTCTTCAAGGCCTGAATGTATATTTATACCATTTTAAGTGCAAACATTTTGAGGATTTCAAACAACGTGAACAGACCTATAGCCATTAAAGTCATTCATCATCTACTTTCTTCTTTTACACATGCTTCATCAAGATCTGTTATCTACGAAAAGATAATTTTCGAATAAAAAAAATTATCTCAAGCATAATTATATGTGAAATTATGTGAAATACAAATTGAAATAAAAATTTATAAATGTATGAAAGAAACTATTACAGTCCTTGCCACAGATCTGTTTGCATTGATGATACTTTTTGCACTCACTTTCTTTTTTTTGGGAGATTTCAAGTAACGCAAACCTCACGGTGAAAGAAATCACCTTACATTCATATTAATATTTTGCGTATGCAACTCAAGTAATATTGCATATTTCATGTTGGAATCAAAATAAAAAGAGATATAACTATAATTTTATAATACATAATTTACAATAACACACATATAATTACATATTTTTAATATTTCTCCATATAAAAGTAGATGAAATTGTTGTATAGCTTACATATAATTATATGATTTTTATAATTAACATACATATACATTTTATAATGAATATACGTATAACAATTTATATTCTAGATGTGATCAAGACTTGCTGCTTGGTGCAATTGGTTATGTTCAGTAAAATGTTTACTTTGCAACTATTGGAAGTTTTTTCTAATTAGATTATACTTTTAGATATAAAGGAATAGTTCTATTTCAGCAAAGAAAACTTCCAATAGTTGCAAAAAAAAAAACACTGCTGAACGCAGTCATTGGCTACAAATATAGCATAAAAATTTGGCTTCTAGACTAGAATACCTCCATAAGGAGTAAAAAATAACTCCACCGGGTTTCAGGATCACCAGCGCCGTTCGGATCCGGCGTTAGGGTGCTATTTTATTTGTGCGTTTTTGTCGTACGACAGAACAGAGAGGTTCTCTATTCCACAGCTAATTAACAGGCTTGAAAAATTTGTACGACAAAAACGTACAAATAAAATATCATCCTTAAACTGTAAGTTTAATCAGTGGATATATGTATTATGTATGGATCCCTTAGGTTGCGAGCTGGACATTACGCTAATTCCGGAAAAAATCTATTATTGAAATCTCATTAAAAGTGTTATATTCCACACAGAAGTTAAAGAAACATACATACATACATAGATTCAACTGTATTCAGTAATAAAACTACAATTGATAATACACGCTACAAAACAAGAGATATATATATAAAAACGCATTGCAGATATTTACGCACGATAACTGAGATAGATTTGGCAACGTTATTTTTGGAGCAGTTTACTGTCCTGTAATTCTTCGTTAAAAATCATATGATTAAAAAACTACAGAGAATAAAAATTTGTAACACAAGTTATAATCATTGTCAACTCAGAAACATGGACCATTAATATTATCATGATTAAGAAATATTAAATTTCAAAAAATTAAAACAATATTAATTTAGTTTCATTAGAAATATATTTCAAATTTAAACTTTTAAATAAATTAATATTTAATGATAAAAAGTATTTAATACAGAATTTAGTACTTAAATTTAAAAATTTAATTTTTTTAAACTACAATAGTATTAATATAGTACTAAATTTAGTATTGAAATGTTAATATTAATGGAAATACAATATTATTTACATATTAACACAGGAAAAAGTCCTTTCATGCTATTTCTTTTCAAATAAAATTGAGAGAATCAATGGATTCAATATTTCTTCATTCTGCATGCATTTTTCTTTCCTGCAATCATATTATTTCTTTCTCAGTGAACTGTGTTTCATGAATCATACAAGATAAAAATTTATAACAAGGAATCAGTTAAATGGTAATAATCACTGTCATTCAGAAACACGGACCATAATATCATCATAATAAAAAAAATCTAAACATGAAAACTACATAAATATAAGATATAGAATTGTTATAAGATGTAGAATTGTTAATATTAAATACATACCTAGAAATTATTAGAAACTGTCTTCGTGAATATTTTCTTTTGGAATTCGGGATCGATTTATATTGGTTATTTTTAGAAAATGGTTTATTTCAGTTATTTTTTTATACATAATTAGTTTATTCCTTTCTGCAGGTCAGGTTATGCCAACTTTCTTTAAAAATACTCTTTTATGCAGATTTTTTAATAATCTAAAAAATAAAATACATTTTACTGATCTCATAGTCATCTAACACAACATATAAATTATATCAATGATATATGAAAAGTTAGTCAGAGATTGGTTATAAAATTAATCACTGATAAATCAGTAACACGGACCAATTAATTTCATCATTTTAAAGCAAAAGAATGCAAAATATTACAGAGAGAAAAGTTCATGGTCCAGGTATATTAAAGCCGAGACATTGTCTTCTGATTGTTAATATTAAACACTTACCCTGAAACTCTCTCAGATGTTTGTGGATGTTTTCTTTGGAATTCGAAACCGATTTATATTATATCATTTTTTTTTTTAATGATTCCTTTCCACGAGGTTATATCAATTTTCTTACAAAATGCTCTTTCTTGTGTAGATTTTTTAATCTAAAAAATAAAATAAATTTTACCGATCTCATAGTCGTCCAACACATCATATAAATTATATCATGAAAGTTAGTCAGAGATTGGATATAAAATCATTGATAAATCAGTAACACGGACCAATCAATTTCATCATTTAAATAAGCAAAAAGATGTGAAATACTACAGAGAAAAAATGGTTTGATTATATTGAAGCCCAGACACTACCGTGTCTCTATCACAATTCATTCGAAGATTATATAACTTACCAATAATAGACTCATGTTTAGCTATCAATTCTTCCCGGATCCATTCATTAAATGTAAAACTATTTGACTGATCATATGAATTATGACGTCATCTATGCTCGGTTTCAGGAATAGGCTTGGTAAAATCGTAACAAAGTTTTCAAATATTTTTTTCTCTGTCAAAACAAGTAATAATTAACAATTGTCTATTAAGTTAATTATATGTTATCTTACATATTCCTAAATGAGTGTTGTACAAAAATTAAATTATCTATCATTTACAGTTTTTACTATTTAAAACAATTACCTGTGCAATTCATTTAAATTGTTGTTCAACATAATGTCATCAATAATTAAATACAAATGCGATTGCAATTCTTTTTTAGATAAACGAGAAGATGCTTCAATAATCAGTCTTAAAATATGATTCAAATTAATACAGTTGCTATACCTATTGCTATTGGTTTTAAAATTAATCACTGATAAATCAATAACATGAACCAATAAATTTCATCATTTATAATAAAAATAAGAATGCGAAGTACTACAGAGAGAAAAATTTATGGTTCGAATATATTAAATTAATAAAATACTCTGAAGCACGTGCCACGTGGTCGACTGGTCGAGGACGCGGTCAGCAATTTTTGTGCATTAAATGCAAATTTTTGTAAAAAAATTGAAAAATGAAATTGATAAAAAAAGAAATTAAACGATATATCGAGAAATATAAAAAAATAAAATTTTCTTACCATCTTGTGCCTCTCCCGCGATTTTTTATGCGAGAGAATCAGATCGATGCGATGATTCATCTCACCCATTCGTAGAAGAAATGAAACGGAAATCAGCGCTTCTTCAATCTTTCAACCTTCTAGACTGTGTTCGGAAATATCATATCCGAGTGCCCCTGTATGGTTTTATCCTTGTTGTCACCCAATATGAAACAAGGATAAAATGAAACAGGGCATCCAGATAATATTTCCGAACGCAACGCAACGCGAGAAGCCTTCCCACTCTTCTATCTTTATAACTTGGAAATCAATCAATCACGGTCGAAAGTTTTAAAATGGTAGTTGATTGGCAATCATCATTTCCATTATTTCCGATCATCCTCGACTGTAATTAGTTCGTTTACTATTAAAATCATAATGCTTACGTATTTTCGTAAACAGCTGAAAATAAAACTTTGATTAACTTACGAGATACAAAAAAATTTGTAACAAATAAAATTTATTTGGTATTATTTTATTGACGTAGATAAAATTAATAATTTTTTTGTCACGTAAGAAAAGATCAAGGACGACGAATTATGTAGTCGGAAATTTTATTGCAATTCTAACGATTAAATTAAGTGATATTTAATCAAAGTTAGCTTTAGATACAATGCAAGGAAGATACTTGAGATACACATAAATTTTATTTCAATTATTATTTATGCTAGTAATCATATTATAATAAAAGAAATGCATCAACAGATCTTTCTCACTTTTTAAATTATTCTTTTTAGAGTTATTGAATTGTTTAAAATTTCTCTCTCTGTTTCAAGTACAGTGTTTAAAATATCTTAATATTAACAATATTGTTCCATCAATATTTTACTTTGTGATAAATTCTTGATAATTTTATTTTTATTAAAAACCATTGACAACATATCGTGAAAGATATAATTATTTATTTTTTGCTATCATAATATTTTACATTATTGAGCTTTCGCAACATTTTCATTGGAATGGAACCTAATATAATAAAGTAATCTTAATATAGCCGAAGGTGTCACACCTGAGATTTTATTGGCTGCTGCAATCTGTAAAAAAATTTCTCATTAATATAAAAAAAATACAGTGTTAACAAATACTTAAAATAAAAAAGAAATTTGCTTTTATGTTACAAATTAAAAAATCGATGCTTTTACAGAAAAATTATTAGCATTGAAAAAATTTACTGTGCGTGGAAGATGTTTCGTAAGTTTTTCTCGATCTTCATTAGATAAATTCAAATCAGGACTATAACAGAAATAAATAGTTAGTAACTTACTTAGATTTTTATTATTCTTCCAATTTTTATGCAACAATTAAATAACCGAACAACGAAATAAAGCTTTGACTTTTACCTATTGTAGTCGATATCGTCAGGTATAATCATTTGCTCGTTTCTCCTGATATCATTCACTTGGTCCTGCTGCTCCGCAACAGCGAAAATATATTTCGTCTCAATCTGAAAGTTTATTGTCAGTGTTTAAAAAAAAAAAATATTAGAAAATATTAGAAAATATGTATTTTATTTGAACATTTGATCAAAATTTCTAAAATTTTTATTTTGTTTATACACAAGTTTTTAAATTGCCTTGTCTCTTCTAACATGCGTTCAATTAATTTGCAAACCTCTATTCTTCTCGCCAGACCGGGATCTCCATCAAGATGTCCTAATTGCGGCAACCATTTTGCTAGTTTTGCAAATGTCACTGACTCATCTGTCACGGACAGCATATCAAACGCTGATTTGTGTCCAGTGTCCTTAGAAATTTTCATTTTTAATAACCGTCGCCATTTGCTGGTCGACCGCACATCGCTCTTGAGTATCTGTACAGCTTCCTGCATTTTACGAAAAACCTCTCTCGTTTTCTCAATCCTCTCGCGAGAAACACAGCCTATCGCGTAACCCTTCTCTGTCAATCTCTGATCTGCATTGTCGGGACGTAGACTCACTCGAAACTCTGACCTGCTAGTGAACATTCTGTACGGCTCCGTGGTGCCTCCCGTCGTCAGATCATCGATAAGGACACCAATATAACCCTCGGTTCGACTTATCAAAAGCGGTGGTTTCTTAAATACCTGGATATACACAGAGATAAAAAACATACATACAAATATCTATATAATATTGGCTTCTTAATTGGCAGTATCGCGAAATAATGAAGCGCTGCAATCTTTACAAATTAAAAAAATCATAAATCATTTTTTTGGAATAAATTGTATAGCTTATCTTTTTCGGGATAAAATGAAGATTTACAATCAATGTAAATAAAAAAAAAACTAAAATAAACAAATTGTTCACAAGAAATTTTAATTCATGTGGTTATTTCAATGAAGGGCCATATGAAACATTTCTTCTTGGAAAGCATAAATTTTAAACACTTTCTATAATCACCTTAGCAGCTGCGTTAATACCCGCGACGATACCTTGTGCGGCTGCTTCTTCATAACCAGTAGTGCCGTTTATTTGTCCAGCGAGGAACAGCCCTGGAATCTTTCTGGTCTCTAATTGGATGGTCAATTCTCTGGGGTCTACGTAGTCATATTCGACACCATAACCAGGTTTGACTATTCACATATAGATGCAAATGAAAAAGGGAATCAGAAAGATTTTATAATATAAAATCATAATAGAAATAAAAGAATTTTATTGTTGCTGATTCATTAGCCTACTATATTTATCTTTTTGTATTGTTTAAAAGAATTTTATTATAACTTAAATTTAAGAAGATTACCTAGACGAGCATTTTCCAATCCTGGGATACATTTAACGAGTTCCACTTGCTTTTCTTCCGGCAAGGTACACGATAATCCACTCGGATAAATCAACGGTGAATCCAGACCTTCCGGCTCCAGCCAAATCTGATGTTTAAGTGCCTTAAATCGCAGAATTTTACTCTCTATACTCGGACAATATCGCGGACCCGTTATCTCCTCCGTTACGTGTAAATTACAGTGCATATTATCCTTTATGATTTTTGCAACATTTTCGTTGGTATACGTCAGATGCGTTAGTATTTGCTTGTCGGGCGGTAGCCACACGTTATTGCTCATGAACGAGAATGGTATAGGTGAATCGTCCGGCGGATATGCCGTACATTTAGTGAAGTCGATGCTTTCTTTCTCTAACCTTGGTGGTGTGCCTAAAAATATATACATATAATTCTAAATTAATATGTAGTTATATGTATATAATTAACATTATAATTAAAAATTTTAACATAAAGGCAAATTAATTAAGGTATATTAATTATGTAATAAAAAATAAAAAATATTCATTAAATAAATAATATTATGCGAATTAATTAAAGACATATTATATGAAAACATTATTTTTACCAGTTTTCAATCTTCCTATCCGAAATCCAAGTCTGTCGAGTGTATTTGCTAAACCAATACTAGGTTCATCATTCAATCTACCTGCAGGCCTTTTTTCCAATCCAATGTTTATTTGGCCTTTCAAAAAAGTTCCTGTGGTTATAACTACTGCGTTGCCAAATATCTTCGTTCCATCTCCTATAAAAATAAAATGAATTTGTATGTAACGTAAAAAATAAATACACCGAATCAGTTATTTTAGTTATTTTTCTTCAAATCGCAATTCTTTTTTTTATTTCATTATGAATTTTAAAACATACTGAGAATTACTCCTTGACAGGATAGAGAATCGTTCTCCAAAATCAGATCTTCTACAGAGGATTCATAAATATGCAATCTAGGCATATTGAAGAGTTCGGCTTGAAGATGTTTCTTGTATAATTTTCTATCAATTTGAGCTCTGAGACCCCATACCGCTGGCCCTTTACTCTTGTTCAAGACTCTATAGTATATTCCTGAAATGTCACATATCCGACAACATACTCCATCTAAAGCATCCACTTCTCTCATCAGATGACCTTTTCCAATTCCGCCAAAGGACGGATTACATGACATCTCTCCTGCAAACGTAATCATATTCAAATAAATTAGGTCATATAATTTAATTTCGATCAAAAATACATTTCATATATAGCGATCCAATAGATTTCAACATCTTTATGCACACCTATAGTACTTTTTTTCTGAGTAACCAACAGTGTCTTTGCACCCATTCTAACAGCAGCGGCAGACGCTTCCGTTCCAGCATGACCACCACCAACGACAATCACATCGAATTTGGTTTCCTTCGTATTTATTAATTGTCTCAGCAAGCATTTCTGTTCGATACGAATATCGCACCACTGATTTAACAAAGATGATCTGATTCTTGTAAATATCATTTTGTCTTGTTGTCACACCTTTCGTTTGTATTTTACTTTCTGCAAAGATATTTGATCGTTTTTAAATATCAGAGAGAAAATATTAAAAAATAATGAAATCAAATATTGACATGTTATGGCTTATTATAGTTTTATAAATTATTTATTAATTACTGCTTATCTACATGCTAATACTTAGATGCACATACATTAACAATATTTAATCAGCTAACTCAGGTCTGTCCAATTTTAGCTCCGAAGCCAAAATGCAGTCATTAATGCAAAAAATTCAATAAGATTTCGGAGATTGTAGTATTGATAAGCACCGCACATCACACTTTACAATTTCCGAAATCTTACCAATATTGAATTGTAATCTTATCCATATTAAATTTTGCATTAATGATTTTACGTTTTAACTCCAGAATTAAAATTAAACAAGGCTAACCTAATTTTTCTAATACAAAAATCTTATTTTAATTTATCTCATGTTATAATATGACTTTCTTTCGATAAAAAGGAAATTCATGCTGTAATTAACAAGATAGAGATACAAATCGAATATTCGTCTGGGGAATTTTTTACGAAGAAGAAAAAGACATACAGGCATGAATGTTTTTATTACATAAATTACAATATAAATAAAATAGAAGAAAATGTATCAAAAGAGATGATCTGACAGGAGATATTCTTGATCTTTCAACATTCTGTATAACGAAACATATTGCATTGCTTTGTACATTTTTGACAGTATCAATCGCTCACACAGCTCTTCTTTGCTCTTAAATCTTAGATCTCTGTATCCCAGATTATTAAAAAATTCCAGAACGAAGTTGAAACAGTTCATATTGATGACATCATAGTTAATGGATTTCCATTTAATATCCTTTGACATAAGTATTAATGCTTTGTCCCATTGTGCAGTCCAGGCTGCTGGCACAAGCTCCAAAACAATACAATCAGTCCACTTGGTGATATCATTTTCTACTAGTCCCTCTTTGTCAAACTCAACAATGCCACCATTAGAGTTAACTATTCCAATATGCAAATCGTCGCGTGTCATGTCGTAATCATCAAGAAAGCTGCCTCGTGAAGGCCGAATAACAACACTGGTTGGATTATGAATGGCATTCGCAAACGGACATGGAACACGAAACGGATCTACAATGAAGTTCTGCATTTGTGATGAGCATACTGGACATATCGCCGGAATTTGCATGCAAAACACATTCTTGGTCTTGCAATGATGGAAACAGATGATGCCTGGATCGTTGTTCATGTTCCCAAAGAACAAATTAAATTTAAATTTGACACTCCAAGATATACATATATTATAAGATTCTTATTTAATTCTATTTTCTATTATTTAAAGAAATTTTCATTCAATCAATCAAGAAAGACAAGAGAGCTGTCAATCTGCAGAACAAAATGTATATACAATAAAAACATTTGTCACATAAGGAACAACTTCGTCGACCACTTTATCCATTTTTTCCTCACTATTTTACAATGCTCGCACTGGAAACGAGAAAGCAAAAGAACACGAAAAGTGTAAAAAAAAATATATGTGATAATAAAAATATGTGATAAAAAATAGATTTGTTCTTTCAACCAAATTTCTTCATCTCTTCCCTTTTCCTCCCCATATGGAAAAAAAGAGAAAAAAGATAAACATTGCAAGAAATTCAACTAAAAAAACAAGCCTAAAATATGTATAAAATACAAGTTTGTGTATATATATATATATATATATATATATTAAGTAGCGAAATAACGCTATAATTCTAACCTAATCTAACCTTGATAACGTATTCCATACAACGTAAAAAAATTAATGTTATTCCATAACATTACGTACATGATAGAAACATCTCAAATGCATGTGTTAATTATTAAAACAAAATACAATGCATTAACTGACTGACGTTATCAAAACAATCAGATGAAAAAACAAAAGCATATTGTCTAAATTCAATTCTTTTCAAAATACTTACATGACTGACGCACGTGCAACTGTAGTATGTACATAAATGTCATGCCGCAATGAGAGCTCGACGTCAAATACGCGAGTATCCAATGAGATTCAATAATTACGAAACTTCTTGTTGTCGTACATCAGTTCTCAGACATTGTAACATTCAAATGTACAACGATAATTACAATGCTATCATCAGAAAACAATTGCTTCTCCTTCTCCTATAATTAATAGTTGCTTTTCCTTTACATTTAAGATCGTAGCACAAACTTTTGCAACTAATCAGAATCTTTCCTTTCCTGCCATTCTATGGAAAAGAAAATTTTCGATTGGTTGATTCCCTTATGCACTATGCGTTATGCAAGAGTCTGTGCTGCAACCAATATACACAAGTGAAGGCCTGAGCACTCACTGAGCAACAAGAATTGTCATAACATTTACTTAAACTTAAATTAAATTGTTTTAAATTGTAGACGTAAGTAACGCACAACCTTTCACGTATGATACAACTTATTACTATATCTCCAAGAGATGGCAATAAATCGTACATCATACATCAAAGTAACGCTTATGCGTTACTTACGTCTACAATTTAAAACGGGGAGCACACTCTTGTATAACGCATAACATATAAGACGTAAGAAATTCAATCAATCAGAGTTCTTTATTTCATGGAAAGGAAGGAAACAAAGAACTTTGATTGGTATATTTTTTTATGCATTGTCTATATCCACACGAATTTGCATAGCTGCATAAACATATACATAAAGAAAATTTTCTTTTCTTCTTTCTCCTCTTTCTCTTCTTCCTCTTCGTCCTCTTCTTTCTCCGTTTCATCTTCTTCCTTTTCTTCTTCTTCTTCTTCTTCTTGGCGAATGGCCTAGCTGGCATATAAAATAAAATAGATTAGACTTATTTCTTTTTACAATCCAATAAATAATAGTTGAAAATCAGATTATTAAATTCTATCATAATACCTAAACTAAGGTCAATTTCTACCAATGTAGATTAACTTTAATCTCAATTCAACTTATTCTTTATCTTTTTTTAATTTTCAGAACTCGAAAAAGATGAAGAGTTAATTAAACCGAGATTAAAATTAAACTATATTGGTAGAAAGCCTAAGGTATTCATAGTCATATCTTATATTCAAAATTATCTTAAGTACGGTCTTAAGAAGTCACGAACCAATTAGAAAACTGCATTAGCATCTTAAGACATTACTTAAGACTTGAAAGACTCAACTATGAATACCAGTCTAAGGCTCAGTTTCACAACTCATTAACGCAAAAGGTTCAACTAATAGACGAACTTTTTAATTCATCGATTGATCAATCACTATGCGCAAATGTAATTTTGTTCCATAAAAGCTGCATTTGCGCATAATGCGATTGATAAATCTATAAATTAAAAAACGCCCTATTTCTCATCTCTTCCCAATTCTAGTATTAGAAAGAGATCAGAAATAAGTTAAATCTCGGTTGAGTTAACCATGAGTTATAAAACTGGGCCTAAGATAAGGCTGTGTTCGCTTTGTCATTCACAAAGCATTATTTATTAAACAAGAATGAAACGATGCTTAAAGCATTTTTTGTGAAAGCCGAGCAAACACAGCTTTAGGCCCAGTTAAAAATTGACGATTGCGATTGGTCAATTTTTTAGTTTCTGACTTCTGATTTATGATTAAAGCGGGGAGCACAGACTCTTGCATATGAAGCATAAAAAAATGAATTAATCCTTTATTTCTTTCTTTTCTGTAAAATAAAGAACTCTGATTGATTGATTTTCTCATGTTTTGTGCGTTATGCAAAAGTCTGTTTTTCCGCTTTATAGAAGGCCCATTACAAAATACAGAGACTGGTGTTAGCATCATAGGAGCCCGCAGCCGCAGGTGAGTCTCCCACTGGACTCAGCTGCAATATTAAAAATATTAAAGAACATTATCTGGGAATCGAAAACGTTCGAGAGTGTGGTCGAGTTGCCTCTGCTTTGAAGTATTTGATTAAATCCGAATCTACAATAGGTATTTTAACCCTTGAGTCGTAAAAAATTGACGAACTACAGTAGAATACGAGGAGAATAATTGAGTCCATTTCTTATGGCTTAAGGCTTAAAAATCTATTGTAGATCTGGGTTAAGTAATCAGAAGAAAGAATTTTATTAATTGACCAATCAAAAAATGTTTCGAAGAATTCGTAGCGACAATTTGATCGCACTCCGAGACTGATGCTTGGTCGGTAACTCGATGGCGCCACCATTTCCTCAGTGTCGGCGTCTAGCGGAACGAGGTAGAAGCACTAAAGAAGCTTCAAGATCGGAAGTTCTAGAGACTATTGAAAGCTTTGTTCTTCTTGCTGCGCACCTCACCGCACTTCTCTTCCACCATTTCCTCGTTGCGGGCTACATGTACGTTCTTGTGCTTCCCGTTGGACGTGGTGTGGACTCTACGACGACTATTAACTGCATATATTTGCAACCGCTGCACCTTCTTACACTTTCTGCAGCCGAAATATCAGAGCATATCAGAGGTGCAAAAGGTGTAACGGAATAAAGCGCGAAAATAAGATACTGCATCACGCGGCGAGGAAGGGCTTTTACCGATTTGGTTGGGATTGATGTGAAGAAAAGCGTGCGATTGTCGACCGCGGTGAACTGGACGAGTCTCAGGATTATACAGTCAGCGACTTCAAAGCGTCATCCTGGCGGCGAAGATGCAAGGCTGGTTTAATCGCGACGAGGATGGCAAGGTGATCATAGACAGCAATGGGTTTGTCACGATCACCTGCGAAGGTAATGGTAAATAGACCACAATTATATATTTATATATATATATACACACATATATATATATATATATGGTATATTCTATTGGTGTGTGCATTGTTTACATTACTATACTTTACCATATAATATCTATTAGCAATAAGTCAATGCAGATGTATCAATGAATATTAATAACATCGATGTTGATAGAGGAAAATGTGGTTTTTCAACTGCATATATCAGAGATCGACGAAAAAGCCGAACAGATGTGCTTCAATGTCAATGGCAAAGACATATATATCGATGTTGTTCCATTTGAAACAAATGAAAATGATTCTGAGGGTGATAAGATCATGATTGAATCAGAGGGCAAGGAGTCCAAGGAAGAAAAGTTTAATAATACTCCAACAACAAGTAAAAATGGAAATGCAATTTTCCCTTGGTGCGACGCCTCGACGAAGATCTTCTTGAGAGAATACAAACTGAAAAAGGAATTAGTAAAGCATCGAAAATTAAAAAATATGAAGAGGGCATATCAGGAAATAGCCTATAATTTGGCAGAGAATGGCTTCAGTGTGTCGCCCTTACAAGTGGAAAATAGATACAAAACACTCAAACGTGCTTATAAGAACATGATAACGCACAACAGGAGGAGTGGGAGAGGAAAATATATTTGCAGTTACGAAGAGTAAGTTTGTTTTTCTAGAAAATTTTTACAAATTGACTTAATCATTGAATCACATGTTAAATCTTTTTTTTTTTTAATAAAGTTGTGGGCTTTAAGAATTATTGAGCCCATCTATAACTTCTTATTTACACTTTCTCTTTTTTCATCTAACACATTATATAAAGTGTATAGAGGTATTCCTAGATATTATCTTGTAAGCCAAATCCTTTAAGCTCTTCATATAATTCACAACAACATTAAGCCTTCTAACTTTTAATCACATAGTTGGAGTAGTAAACTTTTTATTTTCTGTATATGTGAAATATGTGATCGAACCTGGATCCATAGATTGCCAATCCATAGGCCGAGCTTGTAGAGCCATCCATGCTTCATATGTCAAATATGTTAAATGTGCTTACAGTGATTTGGTTGAGATATTTTCCAATGATATATATGACACGAAAATGAATGATGAAGATGATGCAAAGGATCCAAAGGAAACGTAAGTTACAACTAATCAAAATTACAAAATTATTTAATTAAGTACTTTAAGGTTGATTCATAAATATTTTTTTAAGACTTTCACCTATTACTCAAAAAAATAATTCGTCTAGTGAGACATTTCGTTTGAAGACTCTTCAGCATAATGCCAGATTGGAGGCTCAGAATGTAAAGATAATTGAGAATCTACAGAGCTGTCAGCGTTTATTGAAGAATTTAATCACTTCTTTGGATAGTAAAAATAAAAATTCCAATTACGTGCCAAGTGGAGTCTTGCAGATATGTATGGAGATGCGAGACATACAGAAAGAGGCAAATGCTCGTACAGAAGAACAAAGGGAGAAGGCTAAGGAGCAGAGAGAGAAGAGGAATAACTTACTGGAAGAAATTGTAACAATTCTTAAGTCTAGAAAGGATACGTAATACAATCAGTATCAGACAAGTGTTGGACTCATCCTGAATAGTTACAGAATGATAGAATTTATTTATTCTTTTAAATGCAAAGAGATAACTTTCTTGTTGTGTATTTTTATAATTTCATCACGATTAATACACATTGCCTTCCTAGTAAAATTTGTTCTGTGTACGTCACAATAGATTTCATTATAATAGAATTTTTAAGAACAATGATTATTGTACATTCAATGATATCGTATTGAGATTGTATCATGTAACTAATGTGAATATTTTTATTATAGTCAAGCGACATAAATTTTATATGAGATGGCTTTTATTTTTTACATAAGTTTTAAATTCTGCCGTGACTATTGTGACAAAATTTTAGAACATCACTGAAAAATCAAACATCACAGAGGACAGATTATTACTACGATGGCAGTCAGAGTATTAACTTGTCTAGCGAGATGATTATTAAAAAATAGATAAAAATAATTGTATACTTACTGATACAAAAAGCATCAAGTAAGATTTTCATCTGTAAACCTAAGTTACATCAGGGTCGAGATTTAGGGACTTATTCTGTAATTTTTAACGGCTGTAAAAGCGTGATCAGAGATTAAGGTTGAGATTGGAATGGAATTTAACCTAAGCAAAGTTCACTAAACTTGAGATTGATTTTCTTTGTTCTAATTGGTTAAATTCTAATGCAATCTCAATCTCTAGTCTGATTTACACCTTTACAGTCGTTAAAAATTATAGGCTTCTTAAATTCTACTCACTACAAATCAATCATTTTTTTTGTCTGTCACCACTAATTTAAGTTACTTTACTGTATAAAGGTAAAATTAGATTAAGATAATACGAGTTAGAAGATATGAAATGTAATTATAGTTTTAAAATAAGGTTGCATTTGAGAAGATAAAAATTTTACTACACAAATCCAAGTTACCTCTTATGACCTTGTGTAAAAACATTTAAAAATATATTAATATTTCTTATATTGTTGAAGTATTCTATAATACCTTGAATTTTTTTGAACTTAATTATTCTATAACCAAAGCAAATATACTTATAATGAGAACAAAGATACTAAGATGATATACATAAATATTCCTATAATTCATCTTTATTCTTATTGATAAAAATCTACTCTTCCTTCTGGCTTCCAATATTGATATCTGGCGATTTATAATTTTAAAGTGTCTACCTATAATGACCTATATACCCATGGAAATATCGTGTCCAATGAGAGACTAGACTAACTGGATCATGGATTAGAGGGAGAGACGAAATCTGACGCAATCCTCACGTCGCTCACATGTCTCCCGTGGTTGTGCGCTAACATATTTCTCTATTTATTGACATATTTATTAATTTATTTGATGACAATGATTGTTTCCACGAATGAGGGTAACCCGAACGCGCTGAAGTTGGTTATTGCAACTAAATTAGCGCAGGAAACCGTCTCCGTTAGGATTCTGAAGCCTAGTGGTGAGTCCATTAACCTCTTCCTGCTTCCCTCCGTGTCTTAGTTTATGTAAATTCTTAACGAAATATTCTTGAGATTATACATATAAACGACCTTGTCTTGCGGAATATTATTATGTCTTGATAGTCAAACCGATTAACTCCACTTTTTGTCAATTTCCTAATTTATTAGAACAATTCATATCTTCATCAATTTTCTCTATTTTTTGACTTGATCAATTTGATTTCTATGAAGCAATTAATGCATATGATTATGACTTATATATTAGATGCTACCCTGGGCCGTTTGCCGACGCTGACTATATCCACAGGATTATCTCTATTCAGTGTCTCGTCAGCATTGCGCTTCCTGTTATCTGTACCTAAAGAATTAGAGGTTCTCAATGACAGATGGTTGGAATGGGAAATTTCTCAATTACAGGTATTATTTTGATTTAACATTGAATCTATATATTAACTATAACTTTAGCTTTTGTTTCTAATGGTCTTTGTGTTGTTTTTTTATTGTTATATCATTGAGAATGCTTATCCAGCAAGAGAATGACATAGTATAACATAGTGAATCATTCCATCTTTATTTAGTTTTATTGACAAATAATAAGGATGTAATAATTCATTGTGTATCATTTGTGTCTCTTGCTGGAAAATATTTTGAATTGGACAAAAAGCTATTGATTTTAGGAATATATAAAACTGGTTGCATTCAGCTGATAAAACAGTTCATTGAGTAATTTTTTTACAATTCTAAAAGCAAAAATCAATCATATTAAAGAATCATTGAGTATTCACTGAGCCGCTTTGTTTATTAAATGTAGTCAACAATTCTTAATATTAAAGTTGTCATTCTTTGCAGCCAGCCATATTAAGTCATGCGAGTGTTAAAACTTCTAAAACTCTACAGAAATCCAATTTATGGTCTTTACTAAAAGATCTCAATAGTGATCTGAGAGACAAACAGTACTTAATTGAGGTAAATAATGAAAGCATTTTATTATTCAAATATTTTATTATGTTCATTGTTTATGCCACTTTTTTTTTTAGAAATGTAGTAATTTATCACCAGCAGATATTTCTATTTGGGTAAGTCTTTGGAGCACCATATTGGTTACAGATATCATAAATGATATTGCTAAGGACTTACCAAATGTCAATAGTTGGTTAGCTAATATTCAAAAACAGCCAATTATTCAACAATCAATTAAGGTAAAGTGGGGTTGTAATATCTATTTCATAAATATTGATTTGACATATGTAATTGATATATTCTGAATACAGGAATCTATTGAAATGTTCAAATTAGAGAGAGGTCCAAAGGCTATTGCAAGTATTGAATCTGCTTCTTGGTTTCCTATCAATACAGCCTCAAATTCTCAAGTTCATGAATCAGTACCTAGTGATGTAAGTATTTTAAATTAAATATTTTTAATGGACATTCCGCAAATAACAGTGGATCTCGTATATATGTAAACCTAAATGATTTATTTTAGATTAGCCCAATTAAAGAAAAAGAGATGGATATCGTTAATCAAGAAGAACTTCGTAATATGGCAAAGAGCTGGACCACTGAACAATATCTAGAAGTCAAGGAAAGTTCATATCCTATGTAAGTTGGATGAATTTAACAAATTTATATAATTTATAGAAATTTATTAAGCTAATTTATATTTTTTTTTTAGACTGCCTAAAAAAGGTGAACGAAATATCTTGATAACATCAGCTCTTCCATATGTTAATAATGTCCCGCATTTAGGAAATATTATCGGCTGCGTTCTTTCAGCTGATATCTTTGCAAGGTTTCTACACTTAAAAAATACAAATACTTTTAATTTAACAATACGATAACGAAATTTTTTAATTTGTGCAGGTATTGCAGGCAAAGAAATTACAATACTCTTTACATATGGTAATTATTTCTTTTTGGCAACATACAAGAAAATTAATATTCCACAATTCAAATAAAATTTTAGAATATAATTTTAAAATTTGATTTTAAGTGGAACCGATGAGTATGGCACTGCGACTGAAGCAAAAGCTCTGCAAGAAAAAACGACTCCTCAAGCTATTTGTAATAAATTCTTTGATATACACAATGATGTTTATCGCTGGTTTGGCATCGGATTCGACTATTTCGGCCGCACTAGTACACCTGAACAGACAGAGTAAGATTGTAACTTCTATTTTTATTCTTTTATTTCTTTCGTTCCTTATTTACATTAATTACATTCATTTTCATGATAATTCTTTTCAGAATCGTTCAAGCGTTTTTCCTAAAAATTAAATCGCAAGGCTACGTGTTGACCGAGACTGTGGAACAATTACATTGCGAATCTTGTGATCGGTTTCTCGCTGATAGATTTGTGGAAGGCATGTGTCCTGGATGTAAGTACGAAGACGCACGCGGCGACCAATGCGATGGTTGTGGTCATCTCGTCAACGCAGTCGAGTTAATAAACCCTCGATGTAAGATCTGTAACACTAAACCTGTCGTGAAAAACTCAGTACAATTCTTCTTGGATTTACCCAAGGTGAAATTTATATTCCGTCGATATGTTTTCAGCGAAATACGAAATTATATACGAACATAGAACTCTTTGTGTTGCAGTTAGAAGAAAAACTGAAGGAATATTCCACTACACATGATAAAGGATGGTCCAACGTCGCGAGAGTAGTTTCAAAAGCATGGTTACGCGATGGTCTTCAGCCTCGTTGCATAACCAGAGATTTGAAGTGGGGAATACCTGTCCCGGTAGAGGGTTTCGAAAATAAAGTGTTTTACGTCTGGTTTGACGCTCCTTTCGGATATATCAGTATTACAAAGAGGTATACTAAAGAATATAAGCAATGGTGGCAACCTCCTTCTCAGGATATAAAAATCGATTTGTACCAATTTATGGCAAAGGATAACATTCCATTCCACACGATAATGTTTCCCGCTTGTTTATTAGCGGCTAATCAAAATTATACGTTGATGAAATGTATACTGGCAACTGGTATGATATTTTCAAAGAATGCATATCTTTCGAACGCATTTTTTTACTTTGTAATTTTGTAATTATGTTTTTATGTTTTCTTTATTTTATGGTTTTATATCTTTATTTTAATCTTTTTTTCTTTTTGAATCTTGTGAATTCTCTCTTTTTATTTAATTTCTTTACACATATTTGTTCATCAATTTTCCTATTGATATAATATTTATTCTATTTCAGAATATTTAAATTATGAGGATAAGAAATTCTCCAAGTCTAGAGGTATCGGAGTATTCGGAACCGATGCCAGAGATACCGGAATTCCAGCTGATGTATGGCGATTTTATTTAGCTTACATTAGACCCGAAACTCAAGATTCCAATTTTAATTGGGTGGATTTAGCCACGAAAAATAATAGCGAATTACTAAATAATCTTGGCAATTTTGTCAACAGGTTTGTAATTATATTTTTTTGTAAGTCATCAATAATTAATGTTCTTATTAACAGTCTCAAAAACTTTATTATGGATAGAGCTCTAGCATTCTCTGAAAAATTCTTCGACTCTAATATACCACCGATAGAGCCGGAAGAGACCGATTGGACTGTATTAGCATTGGCACAACGTGAACTGTCGGCTTATATAAACGCCATGGAGCAAGGCAAATTAAAAGATGGCTTAAAACGCATATTGGCGATTTCGAAGCACGGCAATCAATATATGCAATTCCAGCAACCATGGGTGAAAATCAAAGGAAATGACGACGACAAGTATAATCAGTTTTATTTATTTTAATTGCTTTCTCAGTTGATCCTCTCAAGTAATATCTTTATTCAAAATCAACAGGAAAAAAGCTGGAACTGTTGTTGCAATTTGCTGTAATTTAGCCTGTCTTCTTTCCGCTCTTCTGGCTCCCTTTATGCCCAATACAGCCAAACAATTGAGATCTCAACTAGGTTTGAGTAACAAAAATTATGGTTATATCCCCGAAACAATAACAAACATGTTACCTACTTGGCACAAAATCGGCAAGCCCAGTCCGTTGTTCACTAAGATCGAAGATCAAAAAGTTGAAATATTACGCAAGAAATATGCTGGACAGCAAGAGACTAATGGCGATGGAACGAACAAAAGTTCCGAAAGTATCGCATTATTAGAAGCCGCTATCATAAAGCAAGTTAGTACATTTTTTTTCTTTCCTTATAATCGACGAGAATCCTTGTACATTTTGTGTATTTCCTAGGGCAACTTAGTAAGAGAATTGAAAGCTAAAAACGATAAGGGCGTTTGGCAACCGCAGGTAGAAATTTTATTAGATTTAAAAAAAAAGCTAACCGATCTCAAAAGTAATGCGAATGCGCCTGCGAAAAAATCACCTGCGAAAAATAAGAAGGCCGAACCGATGCATATGCCCGAACAAAATGGGGATGCTCTAACAGACGTAGCGACATTAGAGTCAGCGATCGCGAAGCAGGTATTGGATGTCATAAAATGATACCTTTTTTCCTTAACAACTTAATGTTCAATTTGTTACATTACATCGTGATTTCAGGGCAATCTCGTACGAGAATTGAAGGCCAAGGAAGATGGAAGTGTATGGAAGCCACAAGTGGAAATATTATTGAAATTGAAACAACGTTTGTCAGATCTTACTGGAACAACACCAGTCATTGTTGACAAGAAATCTAAGAAAAAAAAATAACTACATTTCCTTTGTGATAGGATAATGGAAATTTTTTATATATTACATTATTTATAGGTAGTTCTTCGGCATATGCACATTAATACGTGCAGAGCACGACGTAATAATATTTGACTAACGATAAAAAAATACATGCGCTTCATTTAATATTTTTATTTTTAGTTTATTTTACCTACTTGCGCGTTATGTATCAAAACTTAGAAAGGGGGGGGGGGGGAATCATGAAAAAAAACATTTGTATTTTATTTAAATACGTTTATTCACACTGTGCATGTATAATTTAGTAAACAATTTACATAAAAGGCTACCGTTATTAGAAATTTTATCTATCTCGATTTTACATATCTCCTTTATTGATACTGCTTAGACATTAGCACCTGTTGAAAGAGATTACTCGCTTCTGGGAGTACTGGGAGAATGATGTTATTTTTAGGCGGAGCTTTATCTTTTAGTAATATTTTATTTTTCTTATCGATTTTAATGTTTGTTTTAATGTTTGATTTAATATCTTGTTTTATATTTGATTTAATACTTGATTTAATATCTTGTTTTATATTTGGTTTAATGCCTAGTTTAATGTCTGATTTAATACTTGGTTTAATGCTTGGTTTAACGCTTAGTTTAACACTTGATTTAACGCTTGGTTTAATATCTGATGTTCGCTTCGAATTCATAGTATAAAAGACAAAGTACTCGATACCAAATACGATAAGTGAAATTATTATACCAAAGAATAAAAGAAATAAGATCGGCGCCGCTTCATAAATGGTCACGCTGGAGACGAAAATTTCGTCGCTTGGGCAATAAGGCTTCCTGGCCGACCGACGACGTATTTCTCGCCGTCGTAATCCCGAAGTGTTTATCCTCAGTAATCTATATTATATAATGATATAATTTTTTTTAATGAAAATTGTAATATTTAACACATTGTGACGATGTACTCACGCTATTTTTGAAATTTCATGAAAGTGACTTTTAAGATTAGACCACAGACCCAACTCAGACTTCAAGAGGTGAACTTCTGTTAGCTGACATATCATCTGTTTGTCGAATGCAAGTTCGATGGATGGATAAATATCATCCGGATCCGCATGATAAGCAAAACCTCCTCTCTTTATTCTCTCCACGCCCTCCTCGAGCGAGATAAATCTCTCTGATTCGGGTATAGCGTTCCAAAAGGGCCTGAAATATTGCACGTCCGGTCTTGGATTCTAGTAAAATATAGAAGCTTGTCAAAACGAACTTAAAAATATCGAATTACTATTTGGCAATGCTTTTTTTACCCGCAGCAAAAAATTGAAGAAGACATTTTTCTCAGCAGCCATCTGCATCTTACTATGCGCCAATGAATACAATGAATCATTCATTTTTTGAAGAGGCTCATTCAATCTGGCTGACACTATCGCCGCTCCATAATAATTGTATACCAACAGGCCGAAGACCGTGATCTGAATTAAGGCGATTCGACTGGCCGATTGATTAGAGAGAGAAGGAAAACCTGATCGATATTACAAGAACAGAAGAACAATATATCTTTGCTGTCGTATCATTATGATCGTTAAGTACCTTGCTGGCATAATGCGGCAATGGCGATCAATGCCGAAATGCTGCAGCCATAATCGTCGGCACGTTCTAACTTCAGTATGCAGGAGAGGATCAGAATTGTAATCACCACGATCAAGATGATCGAGTACCACGTGTCCGCCGCGAACGGTTTCAGTATTATCCAAGGTTTCATTTTCGTCGCAGGTATGGTACGAAACATGAAACAGGTACTGAATGAAAAATTATTCGCGAGTTGGACAAGAGATCTTATGTTGCTGTGTTTATTGTATTTTATTTATTTATGTAACAAATTCTCAAATAATAAGTTCAAAATCGGGACATAAGACATCTTTTAGACAATTCTCGCAAAAATATCTTTAAGAGTACGTCTTGTAACACATTATGTTCCGAATTTGGACTTTTGTTTTAAGTTTTCTTCATTGCTTACCGTGTAGGCCATTGTGGAAAAATAACGCGCGCGTAACCATATCTCTCGATCGTCAGAATAGATGGATAGTAACCCAAATCCGCATCGTCCCTCTTCAAGGTGCCCATCAAAGGACCATTACTATCATTCTTTTCCCAGTGATCGATCTCGACGAGGTCCATACTGCACGCGAAAACATTCATTAAGCCTGGTTAAACGATCAATATACAGTACATATGCGAAAATATTTAAATGTATCATAATCAATTACGTAAAATTAAACATGTCGGCGACGTGCGAGAGAAGAGTGTATCCGAATTTTGGCCAATTGTCCATGACCTCGAGGCTGTCACCCTCCAGGTAATCTATCAAACTCACATTCTTTGGTCTATGCAGCACCTATGTACATTTTCTATGTAGTAATTAAAATACATGTTTTTTTAAGATGAAGCTTACAATTCCGGCCGCCTTGGCTCGCATTCCATGATAATCTCGTCGTCTGTTGATTCTCGAATCGGTCAAATTGATCGTGAGTCCTTCGTTTTCTCGCCAACCACCGAGCCATGTAACGTTAAGCACTCCGCCGCGCATTTTACAGTGATTATATACATCATAGAGAACGTAATCAGTATCGTTCGGCAGCAAGATCGCAAAATCCGTGACAATGCTGAAGCCACTATCATTTAAACTCTGCAAACTGTCGTTCAAGTTGCTCCCGAAGATCAGCCAGGCATATGAATAATCATACATACGATGAGTTGTACCCTATATACAGGTTTCATCTTTTTTATTTGATTTCCAGAGCGAAAAATTCTGTTTTTCTTTTTTGCAGAATTTCGAAATTCTCACTTCGTTGAATATGCCACTGATGTTTTGATTTGGACATCGTATATCCACAAATACGCCCATAGTTCGATCGGTGTCAAGATATCTAGGTATATCGATTTGTAATCCAGCCGGTTTAATTGCCGTGGACATCCCGATATCGATTAGCAGCTTCAGCGTAAGAAAATCCTCTGTGCAAAAAAATTATTAAATTCTAACAAATTATATATATA